AACAATTATATAACTTGTAACAATTATATAACTTGTAGTATTATTGGTTACATAATGGTTCTTAATAACACCTTTAGTTATATATTGTATATCTTGCGTACCTTTATAACACCTAATATTAGAAGTTATATAAAATAGATGTGAACACCTTTATAAAACCTTACTATGAAACCTTTAGTAACAAGAACCTGTAGTTTTATTAGGAAAGTGATAAACAACATTTCAAGGTTACTATTAGTGATAAGTAACAAACGCTACACTTATATAACTCAAAACACTGTAAGACACCAATGAGACATTTATTAAACCTTTATATAACTAACCTTGAGAATATATAACCTAAAGGAACTTAAAATGTTACTTGGGGTACTAACTCCGAAATAATATGGCCGAATTGAAAAAGTTTTATCATGCATTGTTAAAGCTCAGTTATACGCTTGAATTGTTGATCTTCGCAAAGATAAAGATACTTTTCAATATAGAAAAAAATCAACATTTTACACATAAACGTTAGGAACCTCTACATTATCAATCCGAGTATCAATCCTACTTTGTGTTCTTTAAGTCCTCAATAATGAGAATCTTGCTAACACCATAGATATTTAATGGAGCCAAACTTTTTAGTTGGCTTAGCCAACTAGAACTTACTTACAGGAACTTACTTTCCTGGAAAAAGAACACGGAAGAAGAGACTCTAAAGGGAGTAAATGCATTCTATGCACATAAGAAAATGTTTGGAAGAAGATGGGGTCTGCAACCATACATTGTACAATGGATGTACTTCTGTCTCTAGTTCGACCAATCATCACTTATGGAGGTGGGAAATGGTACTTAACGAGACTAATAGAAAGGGATATGTACTCTAAGTACCCTAAGAGTAACGGAATCCAATCTGTGGATGCAGACTACTGTTAGATCAGAAAAGGGACAATATGCTTACCAAACATTATTTTGGGGAGAAGATAAGAATTTGCATCCCGACAAGAGAAAAATGGGAAAGCCTACCTACTAAAAGCTGTCTACACAGATGCTCCCGTGACTTCAGGATGAATAGATACAGGCATCTTCTCAGAGGAACTAGACATCCGACGATGTTTAAGGCTATCGGATGGCTGTAATGTTCTACAAGCAGAAAGCGGTGGGTTACGGTTATAAAGGGAGCGGCCAGTTGTATACCAGGGAAAATCGCTAATATAGGAGATATCATGATACATTCTGACCACTTGGCCGCTTTAAGAAGCATCACCGTGGATATATAGTAAGATCAAAAACTGTGATGGACTGCCGAATAGCCCACCACATGGCAACCAAGAAGAGGACAGACTCGCCAAAGAGGGGACTCAAAACAATTACTAAATCACAAAAAAACGTAGTACGAATAAGTAAAAGTGTCGTCACTGGAAACTACCCCACGGGGGTAAACCTCATGAGATGAAATATTTTCAAAGACGGTTACTGCAGAGAATGCGAAGAGGAAGAAGAAAACATAAAGCACCTGCTGTGCCACTGTCCGGCACTGGAATATCGACGCTTTAAAACTTTAGAGCGCGTTTTTTTTAGAGGAACTAGAGGAAGTAGCAGAAACCAACATCAGCGACATCGGGAACTTTGTAAAGAGCTGGAAGTGCTTAACGCAAAGAAAGAATGAGAGTAAGATTTGGTACAATAATACAGGGATATCGCAATGGGCTCCAGGCCTCCGAGTGAGGGATCAAACAGGATCCCAAACCCCAGATAAAAAATGATTTGGTTTATTATTGTAAAGTTGAATAAAATCATTTTACTCTCCTAGAGTATAACTTCCCGACTAATAATTAAGTATCAGTTTAATTACCTGATAACTTTTTTAATTGTTTTTAAGATTTGGTATTTTGTGGTCTGTACATTACACTGAGTACATGTATCTAAAATTTTAATTCAAATAAATGCAAAATAACCGAGTTATTTTACTTTGAAAACTTCCAAAAAAAAATTATTTTTTGCTAAAATTTTGAGAACCACTCCAATCTTTTCTGGATTCCCTTTCTTGTAAATTTAATCTACTCCCTATGTTGCCATATGATTAACAAATTATGTTTTTTAACTAAAAAGTAAAAACATTTCGAATTTTTTTTTCAAAAATTTCCAAATTTTTAAAAAAAAATCGCGAAAAAAGCCTCATAATCCTGTTTCTGGGGTTGAAATATACTACACCTAAAGATATTGGCACTTATTAAGACCCACCCTGTATATAAAACTTAAGTGTGTTTGTTCCCATTATGACTTCGATACTGATAAAACTTTGAGAAGTTGTTCTACTGTATGCTAATATAAGTTTCTTGTTTAAATTTTGACACTTTTACAACATTTTGTTTGTGATAAAATCCCATCATCACAAAATATCTAGCCATAATGTCATAGTATGGTATAGATTTAGTCATGTAATATGTAATATCGCATATAATTAAATTAACGTTACATAATTTATCTGGCTATGATGACATCTACCTTTGAGGTTAGAGACGCCAAAAGTCAACGGCGTCCTATTTCGACCAAATTGGATCAATTTTAAGACTATAACCGCAAAAATAAACACTATCCTACCTTCCAAATTTTGACCAGGTATATCATTTGCAAGTTCAACAGGGCGTGATGACAAATTTCCTATTAAAGAAAAAAATAATTTTCCGGTATAACTAAGGATAGCGGATAAGAAGAATGTTGATGAAGTATCAGTTCTATCCATTAAATGTACGCAACGATCAGGAGTTTGGTGGATATTTATCTACCGGTGGATTGTGACCAAATTTGGCATGTCGATCGATGCACCCGAAAGGAGTAGAAATGCAACAATGCGGTTTTTTCTTTTAATATCTAAGAGCTGAATTCTGAATTCTAAGAGGTTAATATTTTCTGCGATTAGTCAAATTTATCTATTATAGCCGAGGGCTCAAATTTTGCTGGATGGTATTTCTTGGCCACTCAATAGCTTTCCAACTCCTCTCACACACTAAACCGGCGCCGGCGATTTTGCAAACTCTAGTGAGAAGGACTTTAAAGAACTAAATCAACTTTGTCGTAGATACTAAATTTTGGTTTGGGGGTATAAGATGTCTTATAGATGACTTACATTTGTTAGGATCATTAATTAATTGAAAAACATTGGATCGAGTTCAAGTTTTGCTGAGGGGTATCTACCTACTGCAATTTTTTTACCAACAGGTATGGTAGGCTATTAAGAGCGGCAAAAAAAGTTTCTTTAATTTCACTCAAAATGAGTTATTTAGGTCATAAATGACCTAAATACAAAATATTTTCATGGTGTCTGTCTGTCTGTCCGTTTGTCTGTAACACGATAACTGAAAAACCGCTAAACCGATTTTAACCAAATTTGGCACAAAAACACTGTGGCACCCGAGAATCTGGTCATTAGTTTTTGGTGGGGGTGGGGGGTTGGTAAGGGGGTATGGGAGGAGGTTAAAAATTTTAAAAAATCGTAACTCCAAAATTACACTAGCTAGCGAAACGCGGTTTGCAATATAAGATTAGGAATAATATTTGCAACAAAATTTGTAATAACATCAAAATCAGTTAAAGTCGCAGTTTTTGAGATATTCCGTGTTTCCGTAATCCGTTTTTGAGAAAATCCGTGTGGAGAACTCCAAACTCCCATCGGACGCGACCCCAGGTGGCGGATAGGGGAAATAACCGCGGACCAAAGTTGGAAAAATTCCTTTACTTTGAAACTAAAAGAGCTGCCTCTACCAACTTTTTATTAACATATTTTAGTATGGGCGGCTATACGTGCCTCCCGACGCCAATTTTTTTATTACCGATGTAGAAGCTGCAATCAATATTTATGTTACCCAAGATTTGGCAAAAAGTGTTTTTTTTAATTTTCAGATTTTTCTGTTTTACATCATAACTATAAAAGGGGAAAATAACCATTTATAATTCTTATATAACTTTATTTATTCATATTCATATATGAAAAAAGTGCAAAAACTTTTAGATCAAATATGTCCGAAGCTACTCGTTTTTTTTAAATTTATGGGGCACGTAGAGTATGTCCCGGATTGTCTGTACAAGAGGAAAAACTTTTTTGTTATTGGCATTGTGAGAAAAATACATTCTTCATAAAAAATGTTGACCTAAAAATCAAAAGGCGTTTCTAATGATATAATTTTCTGGTAATATAATTTCGGTTTCATTCTTTGATTTTTTTTCAAAACGTCAATAATAAAAAAGCTTTTCCTCTTGTAAAGACAACCCGGGGACATATTGTATATCTCTATCCTTAGAGTTTATTAGAGAGTACTGAATTGTTTTTTCACCGCTACTGGTTATTAATATTTCAGCGTATTTCGAACTTATCAATTTTTCAATTTTAATTTTACAGCTTCCTTTGAACGTGACTTTGAAACACATTTCGATTAGAGCTGGTATTCGATACTATTTGAATTAATTTTTAAAATTCTCTAAAGGGTGGGAGATTTAAAAGGATTTAGCCATCGGCGGCGATCGACCCTAGCCGACCGTTGAACCGCCCGCCCGCCCGCCCGGCCAGCTCGTTCATGTGCGTTTTTTATTCGCCAAAATTATGTTGCCTACCTTTTCTGTCTAGACGTGATACTAAACAGTTCATGAGATTACACGAAACGAAAATTTAAACGAAAAATGGGAAACCGCATTTTTTACCATCGGCTGCTCTTTTATCTCGAATAACATATATCAATATTATTAAATTTATATTTGTTGATGGTGAGATGAGATAATAAAATGAAGTAGTAATAGGTAGCAATCAGGTAAAGTGTAATACACACGGAGACTCATAGAAACATCTTTTACAAAATCATTATCTTTTGCTGCAATTTTTGAAAATAAATATGCGAGTATTTTCGTTTAACTCTATTATTTTTAATATAGGCTTTAATGTTTCATATTTTTGACACAGTAATTAATAATTTGGATGAAGGATTATTTAAAATTTATTAATTTGAAATAAAGAAATTTGAACTTACATCCAGACATTTCCCACTTGCATCGGCGGCGTATCAGGAAAACTCCTAGAAGAGAAAAATGTTAATAATTACAGATATTATTTAATTGAAAGTGCCATTAATCATGCGGAAAATGTATACTTAATCTATACTAATATCACACTGATATATAAAATCCTTAAGAGACTGACACACTGATTAATCACGATCCTGCTCAAACCACTCAACGTAAGAAGCTCAATTTTGGCATACAGGTTGATTCTAGGGTGTAGAGGTTCGATAAGAAGGGATTTTTCGAAATTTCAGTTTCAATGGGGTGAGACCACCCCTCAAATATTACAATATTTTTTATTTAAAAAACGGTCAAGTTTACGAAAAAACGCTTAAACACATATATTTTATTTTGTTTTTTTACATATTTGAAGATTTTTTAAAAATGTTTACAGGGTGCTTCGAAAAATCTGGTCATTGATTAATCACGATCCTGCTTAAAGCGCTTGACATAAAAAGCTGATTTTTGGAAAACGGATTGACTTAGAGTAGGGGTACATAAAGGGCATAGAGGTTCGATAAGAAGGGATTTTTCGAAACTCGAATTCTCAGGGGGTGAAACCACCCCTCAAATATTATAATATTTTTTATTTAAATGCCGGTGATATTTTATTTTGTTGTTTTACATATTTTAAGATTTTTTAAAAATTTATACAGGGTGTTTCATAAAATATGACCATTGAGTAATCACGATTCTGCTTAAACTGCTTGACGTTTAAAGCTGATTTTTGGCAAACGGATTGACTGTGGGGTGTAGAGGTTCGATAAGGAAAGGTTTCTCGAATTTCAAATTCCAAGAGGGTGAAAACGCCCCTCAAATATTACAATAGGTATTTGTTATTTAAAAAACGGTTAGTCTTTCGGGAAAATGCTTGGACACCCATAATTTATTTTGTTTTTTACATATTTTGAATTTTTTTTAAAAAAACCATACAGGGTGTTCCAAAAAGTTGGGTAACTGATTAACCACGATTCTGCTTAAACTGCTTGACGTAAAAAGTTTATTTTTGGCAAACGGATTTTTCGAAAGTCAAATTCCAACGAGATGAAACTACCCCTCAAATATTACCAAGTTATATAATAATATCGCCATATTGTTTTTTTCTCATGCTGACATAAATGTGAGAAAATTTCATCCAGTTTGTATGTTAATGGAAATTCTTGCTTTGCTTTATCATCACCATTACAAATGATTAATTCGACGCGAATGAAGTCGCGGGTACACGCTAGTTAAATATACAGGGTGGCGCACCTCATTCGCCTCTGTTGATTATACGAAAACGGAAAGATGTAGAAACAAAACATGTTATGGGTATATGTGGGAAGGCAATGTATATAATTTAAAATTATTTTGAAATATACGCGGTGTGTCAGAACTAATATCCATACCAAAGTTATATTTTTTTTATGGAACACCCGGTATTTTATTTAATTTTTGGATTCTTGGACATAAAATAAGATGTTTATTATAAGGATTTAATATGTCTAAAAGCTTTGGTTTTTGCGATTAAAGATATTTAAATATGCATCCTATAATAAAAAAAAATGTCAACACCCTGTACAGGGTGGTCGAAATTTTTCTGTTTTAACAGAGAAAACCTATTTCCTGACTTGATAGAGCAAAACCGACATAGATGTCATGGGCTCGATTTCCGAGGTGCGTTTTATGGCGTAAACCGCCTGTTGATATTTTCACTGCCAACAGAGATACGGGGTCTTTTTCAATTTTTTACCATTTTGAAAATTGCCCATAATTTTTTTATTTCGCGGAATTATAAAATTCTGTAAAAACGTTCTTAAGGCACTTTTTTAAGCACAACCCAGTGGCATACTCAGTTTTTTTCTATGCTTGCTCTTTTTGTCAGAAATAATAAAAAATATAATTTTTTGAATAGAAATCATAGTTGGCTATGAATTTAAAAAGATGCTGGCATTTAACCCTTTCCAATGATATAAAGTTATAGATATCTATTTCTAAGAATGAAAGAATTATTAGGTTTTTTTATCTTTGTATCGAAGCGGGCTTTGATTTTGTGTTGACCTATTTGTCTAATTATTTTTTATCACACTTTAATATTCTATATTATTATTTATCTGCATAATTAAAGACTTTTGAAAAGGTAAATTAAGATTCTATTAGTAGTAATGGTAATTATTAGTATTAGTAATTACAACTGAAATCGGTACAATAAGCAAAGAACAAAACTAAAAAACGTATTTTTTTGCGTGACGAATATAGTTCTAAAAAAATCAAAGATGTTCAAACTGAGCACCTCCTTGTTTAATACACAATAAACATCTTTTGAGCACAGGGTTACAACAATTTTGATTAGGCGAACTGGTGTAATAAGTCCAAAAGCTTGCCTAGTAGCCTTCAGCAATTATTCCTTCTCTCGTCTCAATGGTTCTTCCCTTATACAGGGTGAGTTTCCTACGATGTTCTCTATGGGTATCTCGGAAACTACTCGAGATAGAGAGTCAGTTAAATGGGGAAAGCATTACAATTTTGTGGGGTCATAAATATGCGCTTTTCAGATTTTCGAAAAAGTTCATGGCTTACTAGATATTTCGAAAAAAAAACAAATTTTGGCTATTTTAAAAATTGTCCCTAATTCCATTATAATCTATTTTAGACAAAAAGTTTTCAGATAAAAGTTGTAGATAATCACATCCCTAATGAGATTGTGTTTTCCGATTTTTTCTAAAGTCTGTCATTTTTGACATATGACACAAACATATGTTTTTTTTAAATAGAAACCATAGTTGGCCATGACTTCATAAAAAGCGCCGTTTTTTAAGCTTTTCAACGATATACGCTATAATATGTTTCTTTCACAAAATTACGGAGTTATAACTAATTCTTATCTTTCTTGACTAATTTCACTTAGTTAGCCATGGAAACAAGTTCAATCGTCGTTGCTCTTAGAAATGTGAAATTGTCACATCCAATCTTTGTAAATTAACATAAACAAAAACTGTAAATAAGAGTTTTTTAAATGAAGAACAGCGTGTAGAATTATTGGTTCAACTTTTCTTGGCCATATAGTTTCGAGGATACGTTGACCGGTGAACGTTACGTTTTCTAGAAAACGGTTTTCAAGACATGTTAGAAAAGTTAAATTTAGATACTCGCGCATTAATACAGTGGTTCCAACATGACTTTCATTATGACGCACCAACCCTCACCCCCACAATGAGAGAAATGTTATTTAAAAAATTATTTATATCATAATTATATAGACTCAGGGGGGTGTGACCTATCCATTTTAGATTTTTTTATGCGGTATGGTTAACAACAAGGTTTACAAAAAAACTTATGAATTAAGAGAGGCACTCGAAGAGGCGAAACAGGAGAAGTTTAATTATGTCGACCGGTCGTTCTGTGACAATAGCTAGAAATTCAGTTTTAAAAAGATGCATTTATGTACTCAAAATAATTGCGGATTTTTTAAACATTTTCTAAAATAACTTAAAGAGTACGTAGTGATATTATTTTTTTGAGTTTTAGTTTGTATAATCTAAATTGTAAAGAGCCGTTTAATAACATATTTTGTCTTTTTATAAGTTATAAATCACAACAAAATTTGAACACCACTGAAAACCGTTCTCTAAAAACGTAAGTAACTTTCACCGGTCAACGTATCCTGTATGGCCAAGAAAAGTTGAACCAATAATCCTACACGCTTTTCTTCATTTGAAAAATTTTTATTTACAATTTTTGTTTATTTTAATTTACAAAGATTGGATGTGACACAATTTCACATTTCTGAGAGCAACAACGATTGAACTTGTTTCCATGGCTAACTAAGTGAAATTAGTCAAGAAAGATAAGAATTGGCTATAACTCAGTAATTTTGTGAAATGGCGCTTTTTATGAAGTCATAGCCAACTATGGTTTCCATTTAAAAAAAAACTTATGTTTGTGTCATATGTCAAAAATGACAGGTTTTATGAATAATCGGAGAACACAGACTCATTAGGAATGTGATTATCTACAACTTTTATCTGAACACTTTTTGTCTAAAATGTATTGTAATGGAATTAGGGACAATTTTTAAAATAGCCAAAATTTGTTTTTTTCGAAATATCTAGTAAGCCATGAACTTTTTCAAAAATCTGAAAGGTGCATATTTATGACCCCACAAAACTGCAATTCTTTCCCTATTTAACCGACTCTCTATCTCCAGTAGTTTCCGAGATGCCCATAGAGAACATCGTAGGAAACTCACCCTGTACATAAGGTCTTTTAATTCCCCCCATAAAAAAGTTGAAAGGAGTTAAATCGCAGGACCTAGCAGGCCAAGATATGGGCACCTTGTTCCAACCCAATTCTCTCTAAATTCTCCATTTAATAGTTCAGTTGTAACTTGGTGTTTTAATCGTAACTGGTAATACTAATATAGAATGTTGATTTACCTTTTCAAAAGTTTTTAATTATGCAGATAAATAATAATATAGAAAATTAAATTGTGATAAAAAATAATTAGACAATAGGTCAACACAAAACCAAGGCCCGCTTCGATACAAAGATAAAAAACCTAATATTTTTCTCATTCTTAGAAATAAATACACATAACTTTATATCGTTGGAAAGGGTTAAACGCCAGCATTTTTTTAAGTTAATAGCCAACTATGATGTCCATTTAAAAAATTATATTTTTTATTATTTCTGTCAAAAAGAGCAAGTATAGAAAAAAATTGAGTACGCCACTGGATTGTGCTTAAAAATGTTAAGAACGTTTTTACAGAATTTTATTATTCCGCGAAATACAGTTACGGGCAATTTTCCAAATGGTAAAAAATTCAAAAAGACCCCGTATCTCAGTTGGCAATGAAAATATCAACAGACAGTTTACGCCATTAAAGGTTTCTCAGAAATCGAGCCAATGATATCTATGTCGGTTTTGCTCTATCTAGTCAGGAAATAGGTTTTCTCTGTTAAAACAGACCAATTTCGACCACCCTGTACATTACTTTTCAGAATTGATTCTTGTGATAACTTTCTAGTCAGAGAA